ATTAATACTGGATAGTTCTATTAGTTCTAAACTGTTCTTCTTAGAAGTCCAGTAAGGATCATCTCTTACTGATCCAGTGTTGTTACTACAGGAGGAAACCTAAACTCAACTAACTTTATTAATACTGGATAGTTCTATTAGTTCTAAACTGTTCTTCTTAGAAGTCCAGTAAGGATCATCTCTTACTGATCCAGTGTTGTTACTACAGGAGGAAACCTAAACTCAACTAACTTTATTAATACTGGATAGTTCTATTAGTTCTAAACTGTTCTTCTTAGAAGTCCAGTAAGGATCATCTCTTACTGATCCAGTGTTGTTACTACAGGAGGAAACCTAAACTCAACTAACTTTATTAATACTGGATAGTTCTATTAGTTCTAAACTGTTCTTCTTAGAAGTCCAGTAAGGATCATCTCTTACTGATCCAGTGTTGTTACTACAGGAGGAAACCTAAACTCAACTAACTTTATTAATACTGGATAGTTCTATTAGTTCTAAACTGTTCTTCTTAGAAGTCCAGTAAGGATCATCTCTTACTGATCCAGTGTTGTTACTACAGGAGGAAACCTAAACTCAACTAACTTTATTAATACTGGATAGTTCTATTAGTTCTAAACTGTTCTTCTTAGAAGTCCAGTAAGGATCATCTCTTACTGATCCAGTGTTGTTACTACAGGAGGAAACCTAAACTCAACTAACTTTATTAATACTGGATAGTTCTATTAGTTCTAAACTGTTCTTCTTAGAAGTCCAGTAAGGATCATCTCTTACTGATCCAGTGTTGTTACTACAGGAGGAAATCTAAACTAAACTAGCTTTATTTAGACAGGGTTGCTCTAGAAGATCTAAGATGTCAATTTAACCAATATCTGTCGCCACGGCGACCCATCCAGTAACTATTCTCAGACCAGAGACATTATTTCATATACTCTAAATAGCTTACCTCTGGGTTCAGCTTTGCCAGTGCACTTAATATCATCCAGGGTAGAGCCTTCATCTTTACTCAACAGAGAATAGCAGTTGAACAAATACACTTCACCGGTGCTACGATCTTGTACCGAAACACTACGAAGTTTCCACGAGGGATCTAATCCGGTATTATCGTGCCATATTCGGAGTTTCTCGACTTCTCCGACAGAGGGCACTCCGTCCAGCGTAAAGACGTCGACCTAAATGGGAAGAGAAATGAATAACCTTGGGTATTCAATAAAAATAATCAATTATATCTATTAACATGTAACCTTATAAGGAACTGTATAATAACAGTATTAATAAGCGTGATTGGTTGCACGGGTTTCACGTACTGGAGCTATTAAATCTTCATAGCGATGAATGATGATTTGAAGAAATTTGTGGGAAAGCACTTTTATGATAAATTCCTTTAAGCGGGTATGCATGCGTGTTGCAATTAATGCCAAGTCCAATCATTGGAAACAGTCAATATTTTTCGCGAAGCAATCGCTTAAATTTCAAAGCTTGCCTGAAAAGCTGAATGATGAATGTAAACATAAACAGCTTGCTATACCAGACCTTTTGAAATAAAGATTATATACAATTTTAAGTCTAAATCGAAATTTCCGCATGAAATTTGCAAGTACAAAACCTCTTCAACTGATAGTTGTATCGAGCGAGAGGCTGGAAAAATCCCGATATTTGCCTATATACCTTACACTCGCATCGCCTTAGTATTTACACACGAACTTGTGGTTAGAGCTCAACAACTGGCCTCTGTAGCTCAGTTGGTTAGAGCTCGACAACTGTCTCTCTGTAGCTCAGTTGGTTAGAGCTTGACAACTGTCTCTCTGTAGCTCAGTTGGTTAGAGATCGACAACTGTCTCTCTGTAGCTCAGTTGGTTAGAGCTTGACAACTGTCTCTCTGTAGCTCAGTTGGTTAGAGCTCGACAACTGTCTCTCTGTAGCTCAGTTGGTTAGAGCTCGACAACTGTCTCTCTGTAGCTCAGTTGGTTAGAGCTCGACAACTGTCTCTCTGTAGTCAGTTGGTTAGAGCTCGACAACTATCTCTCTGTAGCTCAGTTGGTTAGAGCTCAACAACTGGACTGTGTAGTTCAGTTGGTTAGAGCGCTGCACTGGAATCACAGGTTTGATTCCTGTCAGAGGGTTTATATATAGTTGTATTTTTCACAACTGCTCCTCGTTGGCTCTCAATAAATGTTTAAAATTTACAATCGAAATGTTCGTATTATTATTGTATGAATTTCAAACGTACAATGCTAAAAGCTTTATTAATTTTTATAATTGTTTTTTTTTTAATTTTAGTAATTTGTTTTTTCGCTGTGAAAAAGTGATATTTTAAAGTTGTATAAAGTGCATGATTATCTATAGTTTTCGTTCAACACAGTTTTGTCTTTTCGAAAACAACTTGAGAACAGGTGCAATTTCGAGACATGTAAATGAAAGTTTGTTTTGAAAGTACAAGTGGCCCAAGCGAAAAAGCACGTTTCGCCGAGTCATTTATTACGAAAAAAAAAAGAAATACAAGCTCGCGTCTCGCTTTCAATTTTTACATTAAAAACTATATGTCTCTATGTTATTCTAAACCAACTCACAATAAGAAAGTAATTATACAATATACTACTTTCTAAATAAATGTTTCGATCAATGCCAATGCTCCGTGATGACGAGCAGATGGTCGATATATACATGTCCGACTGTTGAAAACATATTTTTATTGACTGTTGAAAGCATTTTTATTTTTCTACGTTTTATTCGACTATATATTTTAGTCATCTTCAAGAATGGATGAAATTACAAGCATAACAGTGCCTTATATACCCTAGTTACAGCTACTGTCTTTCTTATAGTGATGATGATATGCGTATTAATATATAGAACAATATAAGTGTATAGTTCGTTGTGTTCACATTTACTATGACCAAGATAGTCAGTGAGTTTTCTTCAAGCCTTAAGTTTTTTTTTGAAGAAAGGTTGTTAATGCAGCTAGGATTCAACCCGTCGACATATTTTCATGCTTTTCAGAACTTTCCATCCTTCGGTACGTAACACCTTGTTTTTCCAGTAAAAGATTAAACAGTTAAATGTACAATTCATTAAAGATGTGGTTACAACCCAGAGCGCTGCAAGGTTTCCATCATCCAAAGACAAAGTATCTGTTTTCTCTGGCGAGTTTGTTCTTAATCCAATGTAGACGAACCATGGAATGGATACCAGCACAAGACAGGCGACTGCTAGCAAACAACTCGATATATTTTTCAAAGAAAACGTCTTTTTCATATCAGGCGATATTCTTTTGTTTTTACGACTTTTCCTGACGACTAGAAATAGTTTGTAGTTCATAAATAACATCGGAGGAATGAATAGAACAGAAATAATTAGAACAAGCACTTGGTACGAAATACCAAAGTCGTTTAGACATATCACACCCAAAATTATTGCGACGATGATCAGTATTGCAAGAAGAGTTAAAAGTCTTCGCTTCGTTACCGATGTTCGATGAAAGATAGGATAAGATGTCGCCAAATATCGATCGAAACTCATCACCAAAAGAGCGAAATATGAAAAAACTAGGAAAACACTTGTCGATCTTAAGGAAATATGAGGCCATCTAGCATTTACATCCACCTTTCCCGTCAACCATGACTTTGAGACAAAGGCCGTCAATGGAGCATTAGTTAAAACCGTAAGCAAATCGCAACAAGACAAAATCATGATCATGAAATAACATAATTTCTTTCGAAGTTGTACGGATCTCCAGAAACTGAGTATGACCAAGGAATTTAAACATATTCCTGAGAAAAAGAAGAATACGTTCCCAGCAAATATGAATATGAGGTTGATAAAATAATAAGATTCCATCCTCGAGCGACTTCTTTTGAAGAATTAAACATAAAACAAAAAGCGTTGCGTTTAAATATGGCATCTGAATTTCAAGTACTCAAGTGTATAAATTACATATACAAGTAAACTATATAAATTTCAGGTCAGGGGACAGATCATTAATGAGGTATGGACTAATAGCGGCTGCTTAAAGCGCCATTTGTAATCATAAAATGGTAATATATGAGGAAGACATAGTATGCTTCTGTGTTTGGATGCATTGGAAAATATTTCATATTTTGTAAGTACATGCGAGCTCATGGAAATTTGTTTGTAAAAAATACCGCATGAACGGCAGTGTTATATAAGATGTACAAACACGAGCCATAGGCAAGTGCCTGTTACATACAACAGAGAACGCGTCATCATACTCATGATTTAGAAATGACAGAGCTATCTATGCAATATAAAAATAGTTTAGTTTTAGTTTCCTCTTGTAGTAACACTAGATCAATATAAGAGATGACCCTTATTGGACCTCTAGGGAAAACAAATTCCTGACAAAAAGAAGAATACGTTCACAGCAAATATGAATATCAGGTTGATAGAATAATAAAATTCCATCCTCGAGCGACTTTTTCTCAAGAATAACTACATTGAAATAACACGAATACCGTTGTGCATTAAACTTAGAATACACGAGCAATATTTTTGAAGAGTATTATTGCGTTGCAGTCGCACAAGGTGGTGACACCTGTGTTTGATTTATGACAATGACACAGTAAAGCGCCAGGCAAACGAGAATGAAAGTTAAAGACATACAGAAGGAACATGAAAAACAAGGAACCAGAAGCAGTCGATTCTGCCTCCTTTTCTCCTCCTAATAAAATAATAAGATTCCATCCTCGCGGGACTTCTTCTCAAGAATTAAACATAAAAATAGCTCCGTTGCGTTTAACTATGGCAACCAAATTTATAATTACTGTGTGTATAAATGACATATGTAAGTACTATATACATTTAACAAATATAAACATTTTCCGTGTTGATATACAGTTATATCAACACGAGTGGAATTGGGAAAACGAGAAATTGTATGGAAACACGACGCCCGAAGGGCGGAGTGTTTTCATACAATTTCGAGTTTTCCCAACTTCCACGAGTGTTGATATAACTATATATCAATACGGAAAAAATGTTTTATATTTTATTAATATTATAAAAAAATTTTTTTATAATATAGCAATGTCAAAAGCCCGAAGGATAAGAAAAATTTCCGTGTTTACAAGCAGCGGAAAATTTCCCGTGTTGACATTGAGTTATATCAACACGGCTCTTAGCCAATCAGCGTTCAGAATTTACAAATGCTATATTATAATTAACAAATATAAAACATTTTCCGTGTTGATATACAGTTATATCAACACGAGTGGAAATTGGGAAAACGAGAAATTGTGTGGAAACACGACGCCCGAAGGGCGGAGTGTTTTCACACAATTTCGAGTTTTCTCAACTTCCACGAGTGTTGATATAACTATATATCAATACGGAAAAATGTTTTATATTTGTTTTATAATATAGCAAAGTCAAAAGCCCGAAGAATAAGAACAATTTCCGTGTTACAAGCGGCGGAAAATTTCCCGTGTTGACATGGAGTTATATCAACACGGCTCTTAGCCAATCAGCGTTCAGAATTTACAAATGCTATATTATAATTCATTTTCGTAATATGATAATGTTAACCGTTTTCGGAGTGTCCATTGTTTTGTATTTTTTTAAATTACTCAGCGGTAACCGTATATTAAAATTACTGCGTGTATAAATGACATATATAAGTACTATATAAATTTGATTATATGATATTGGTAATATGACAATATGAAGAAGAAATAATGTGCCTCTGTGCTTAGATGTGTTTGAAAATATTGCATAAGTGTACGCAAGTTTGTATATACAGGGTGTATCAAAAAAAACTGAACAGATTTGAAATTGCTCTTAATTTCGCAAAACACCTATTTGTATCCAGTTTTATATATTTATAGCTTCTTTGGGTACTTATAATGTAGAATAATGACAAAAATTTCTCGAACTGAAATTTTGTGAACCAGGGGGGGGGGGGTGTGTCTTTTCCAACAAACTAAAAATGCCTCGCGCACAAAATTTAAAAGTTGTAATCATATTTTGAGTTAATAGATGGAACATTTGTCGGGTTTTTAATTACTGAACAAAATTTCAGACAATTTGGTTTAGTTTAAGCCCTATAACTATTCATTTTATTCTAAAAAATTAGTCTTTCGCATGCTTAATTAATGCATTTACCTAATTTGCATATTGCTGACATATGCAAATTAGGCAATGGCATTAATTAAGCATGCAAATAGCTGATTTTTAGGAAAAAATGTAACTTTGCGTGAATAGTTAAAGGCTTAAACTAAACCAAATTGTCTGAAATCTTGTACAGTAATTAAAAACCCGACAAATTTTCCATCTATTAACTCAAAATATGATTACAACTTTTAAATTGTGTGCGCGAGCCATTTTTACTTTGTTGGAAAAGACACCGGTTCACAACATTTCAGTTCGAGAAATTTTTTTCATTATTCTACATTATAAGTACCCAAAGAAGCTATATATATATAAAACTAGGGATCCAAGGATAGTGCAGAGTTTCAAAGACGAACGCTATATTGACATGCTTATTAATTGAATAGTTTTTCAAGCGTGGTTTATAGCTTTAATCACATGTCGATATGACGTACAGTAGTAGCGCGCGTGACTGTTACAACAGTAAAAATGCTAAGATCTGGTTTAAATCTAATACTTTAAGATTAAAGAATGACGAGAGTTATGTAATATTATTTATTTCCTCATATAATATTAGTAAGTTTCTGTGGGCAATCCTTAAGTTCACTGCGCCCACAAAAACATTCCCGTCAGGATTTTCCAAAGAACACAATAAACCATCTGGCAGAACTACTAAATGCGATAATGAACGTGAACAAGTAAATTGTCAAGATGTGCCAAGCAATTCTTTATTAGGCATAGATAGTGAAATTAACATAATCGCCAAAAGTAAAGGTTTGAAGATAGCCAACTTAAATGTAAATAGCTTAATGAAACATCTGGATGAAATTCGCTTAATCCTTAACAATAACGCCCTTGACATTCTTTCAATTAATGAGTCCAAAATTGATAATCAGATTTCAAATAATGAGATACATATTGATGGTTTTAATATAATTCGTAAAGATCGAAATAGGTTTGGTGGAGGTGTGGTTCTATATGTTCGCCAAAACATATCATTCTCAGATAGAATAGATCTAAT